TTACACTTCTAAATTAGGGACGGCTAGCGCAGATAGCCCTCGTGTAGCTTTGCGCGAAATTCAAAACAAACAAACAAACAATTAAGTAGAACAAAACTGTTATGCTTTCCGTTTAAAGTTTGCTAAGCTTTTCGGATTTTTTTTTTATTTAATAAATAAGATATTTAATTTTTATTTGTAACGAATTATGTATGAAATGAATGAAAACGAGAACATCACAAATTCAAAATTCGGCGTTTTTTCACTTCCGAATCAGTGTAGGAGTTCTGAAATGAAACTATAAAAATCCTATTTTGATAGTTAAGATGTGTTGGCAAAAGCTCTTCATCATTCTGTATCCATGCTTTTGTGGCAAAAAGTATGGCACTAAATAACAACTTCATTTTAAATAGTATTACCAGCTGCGAATGTTCGGTTTGTCCTGTACACAGATATTATTACATAGTAAATAAGAGTTTGGACAAGAGGTAAAAGGTCACTTTTCTCTCTCTCTGGATAAATCATCGGGATTTAGGTCGTTGGTGACTGGGAGGGTCAGATTCTTAATATACCTTTTCCTCCCTCCTGTATTATTGTCAAGTTTAGTTTTTGGATAAGCTGGTTTGGATGTTAAGTGTTTCTGTTTGCTACTTTCCTTTTCAGGGTTATGTTCGTTTTATGTTATCTAGTTATGTGTGATTTTGAACTTATATTTGTTGTGTATTTGTGTGCTGTATTGTTTGTGGTAATATGATTAGTTTTAAAATTTGTGCCTTTTATGAGTACATACTTTCAAAAACTGTGGGTTCTTTGCGATGAAAGAGACAACGACTGTAGTGCCTCTTTTTTCTCCGCAAACACTACCACGTGAGATGACGTCAAACTTGTTCAACCAATGAGTACCCAGGTTGCGCAGAGCCTAGCTAGCACGGTGTTGTGCTTATCATTCGTATAATAAATATCGATGTTTGAGTCTTGTCCTTTAACGTTGTCTCTTCTCTTTGTCTCATAGTGGGTTGCGCAGACGGTATATACTTCTCTACACTGTGACTTTCGCTTCGTGTAGCGTGCTTCATAGTCACCGAACATGGGGCTTCAAGGGCTCGTTTTAATGTATACAACTATGTTGGTAGTTCTTGGAGAAGTAAGCGGTACTAGTTTGTCTACATCTCTACTACCCCTTATTTCCCGACCCACTGCTGCTCTAGGTAACCCAGAAAAACTAGCTCTAAACTGTTCACATGTACATCAGTCAGTTGTGAAGATGAATTTACGATCATCTTATTTCACATCGGACAAATCGACTCAAGGTGGGCCAGTAATATTATCATTATCTAATATATCTTAACGACAATGGTTAAGTTTAGATATATATATAGCACTCCTGAAAATTTTTACAAAAAGACAACAAAATCCACTTTTTTGTTATCATATAATACCAGTTATGCGTGCGAGACAATGAAGCACAGAATGTAAGATAAATGTACTTAAAAAAAGAGAGCAAGAGATAACCGAAGTAGCATCCAGTTGCAACAGGCCTAGCCAAGATAAAAGTTGTGTATAGCTACAAAGATTTTATTGAGACTGTCTGAACGTTAGTCTAACTGTTTATCTCAATTACATTCAATTGTTCACCGAAAAGATGTTTTGTTTGCTTATATATATACATATTGTTTTGAACAAAATAATTTTGCTGTTGCCTATTGGCATATACTGAAAATTACTTTCCCTTATCTATAAGTAAAATTTCTTTAATGTATTAGTGGATTGTCAGTTTTTTAATACATTTTTTCAGGATGTTATTTGTCAATAGACTACTTATTTGAATTTTGCAAATTTACTTCAAATGTTGCCCATAAACACACTTCAGAATTTAAACACGGATATCTTTCGTATTACAAGTGAGTTTCTTAATCTCCACATCTTTGCTCTTAATCCCGGTAAAATGAATTCGAGAATACATTCACGCGGTTTTTTAAAAAGACGAGGCTTAAGTTAACTCAAGATTGTGAATAAATATGAAACATATAACCTTCCTAAAATCATTGAATAAAGGTTCTATGTGCAGAATTCTGTCGCCTACTGCTTGAGAAATTTGTTTTAAAATACAGATACATAAATACTAACGTCATTAATTGGCGTACATTATACTTTCTGACATCGTAGTAACGCATTTTAAAGGTTTAATGGAAAAAAAATATTTTTTAACATTATAAAATGATAAATAAAAAATATTAACGTGGATCATGAAACTGCTGTAATTTCGTTTTTTTTGTTCATTGGTAGCTTTTTATTTACCTATTCAAGTATTCTTTACTGCATATATATTTTGAATAGCATAATATCATGTAATTATTTTGATTAAAAAGTGGCTTGATAACGTCAATAGTCTCGCCATTTCTATACGTCTGCTGTGTGTGCGTGTAATGTAGGGAAAATACTAATCCCATAATGCATAGCTATTAGTGTTTCGTAGGGCCACATGGAGTAGGTGGTTCGTAGGACCACATATAGTAAGAGGTTCGTAAGGCCACATGGAGTAAGAGATTCGTAGGGCCACATGGAGTAGGTGGTTCGTAGGACCACATGTAGTAAGAGGTTCGTAAGGCCACATGGAGTAAGAGATTCGTAGGGCCACATGGAGTAGGTGGTTCGTAGGACCACATGTA